GGCCCTCAGAGAGCCCTGCCCACCCCCAGCTCACCCGTCTCCTGGCCTCCCTCCTGCCTCCCAAGCGCTCAGCCTGTGCCAGGCACAGAGGGGCTCAGTCTGATGGGGGGGAGTCCAGCGCCAGCTGCCTCCACTGTCTTCCCCACACTCCGGGAGAGCGTGGCGGGGCCTCAGCCTTCCTAGGGTTCTCCACGGCTGGAGGACAGTCCCCTCCCCATTCCCACCACCTCAGAATGCCCCCTTCCAGGGCTGCTTCCTCCAGGAAGCCTTCCTGGATATGCCCGACAGACACTCCCTGTCTCCGCCTCTGTGACTCTGAACTTCTCTGCTCAGGCAACACGGTGCCTCTCCACGCCACCTCCCTGTCCACGCCGACCTGCCCCTGCCCACGGCCACTCTTCCTGGGTTCAGGGTCCGGACTGCCCCTCGCATTCTCCCTTGGGCTCCAGGGAAAAGCCTTCCACCTCTTGCCGCCCCCCGCCCAGTGACCAGGCGACGCACCTCACCTACATGTCAGGCCAGGGTGTTTAAGACGCCCAAGTCACAGTCTTCTCACTTGTTAAATAGGGACAATAAGAGTGCCCCGCTCTCCTGGGTGGCATGACACTCAGAGGTGACAGGACGTTCTTGGTCCAGCAGCACAACCGATGCTGGTTCTGCCCAGAGGACACCCACTGTCCTCTCCAGGAGCCCGAATCTGGAGGTGAGAGGAGCTTCCTTCTTCTGGCCAGACCCACCTTAAAGACCTCCAAGTTCCATATACCTGAGGCTCAGAGAGGGGAAGGAGCTCACCTGGAGCCACACAGCGTGGCCCTGGGAGGAATCCAGGTCTCCTGGGTCGGACGGACTTGTTGGACACGCCTTCCTTTTGGGCTGAATCTGCTGTTCAGGTCCTGGAGTCTCAGGGTCTCCCCGTCCATCCGTTCACTCTTCCACTCGGTGTTTATTGCAGCTGCTCTGGGTTGGCTCTTCTGCTGGACATCTGGGAAGTCCCTGAGGAAGCCGGCTGATGAGTCAAGATTTGCAGTTAGCAGCAAGTCACAGAAACCCAACCATGATGACTTTTAAATTTTTTTTTTATTTTTTAGTTTTAAGTGGACATGATATCTTTATTTTAGTTTTATGTGGTGCTGAGGATCAAACCCAGTGCCTCCCGCATGCCAGGTGAGCACACTACCACTTGAGCCACATCCCCGGCCCCACCATGATGACTTAAACAGGAAGTACACACCGTCGGGGCTGCAGTGATGTCCTTCTGGCCTCCCCAACATGTGGTCTTCATCCTTATGACACAAAATGGCTGCTTCCACGCCAGGTATCATGACAGCATTCCAAGCAGTAAAATTGGGGAGGAAACCAGGGAAGGGTGAAGAGCAAACCACAAAAGGGCCCTGCCAGGTAAGTTCCTATTTTTATCAGAAAAACAGTTGTTTTCCTGGCTCAGTTCCCAGCAGAAAACCCCTGATTTCATCTCAGGGTCAGCATTGGGCCAAGTGGCCCCCCTAGCTGCAAAGGAGCCTGGGAGGGGCATATTTTTACCTGGGCACATTTCCCCCTGGAGGAGGGGGGGGGACGCCTGGTCGTCTGGCTCACCAGCAGTGCTCTCACCCTGGAACGGACGGGGTTCCTGCCTGCAGGGAGCCGCACTGGGGGCCTGTCTCCCCTGACCTGCCGCCACCCCTGGTAGGTGTCCTGAGAGACCCCGGCTCTCCCTGGCGGGGCGCAGGGCCGTGCAGTCGGGGCTGCGTGGTATTTGAGGGGACTCTGGGGACAGCGGAGTTCATTCAGCACAAGCCCTCGGGCCGCGGAGGTCCCCTCCCTCTGTCCAGGGCCTGGGGCAGCGGGGACCCAGCCCTCTCTGGGGGAGGCCGCCAGCCTCTCCCACCGTGAGGGCTCCCTGGCGTCTGGGCCTGTCCCCTCCTGGACGTGCACCTGCTGCGGGTGGCAAGACCCCCGTGGGCCCGGGGACCCCGCGAGTCCTGCTGTGCTGAGCACGTGCTGCCCCCAGGGGCCGGAGTCCAGCTCGGCCAAGGCCCAGAGCCTGTCGGCGGGTCTGGGATCGGAACCGGGTCTGTCGGTCCCCAGGGTGACGCCCCTCGTCCAGGCCAGCCTCCCTCAGGAGGCCCCTGGCCTGGCTCCCCGGGGTGAGGAGGGGACATTCCCGGGGCAGGAAGGCAGAGGGTCGAGGGAGAGACGCAGGGCAGGGGACAGGCTGGAGGCCCCGCCTGGCCAGTGTCCTTGGGGCAGCGAGGTGTCCCCCCCCTGAGACAGTGATCTGGGCCGTGCGCTGTCCCCTCCGTGGAAACTGCAGCCTGTGACCAGAGGCCAGCAGCCGGCGGGGCAGGGGCGGCTGGCCGCTGAGCCCCGTGGAGAAAGGGCTTTGAAGACAGCGCCACGCGGGCCCAGGGCGCGGGGCACGAGGATGGGGCGCAGGGAGGGCCAGGCCTAGCTGGGGACGCCCCCGACCCCGGGATGGCAGCGAGGCTGCTCCGCGGAGCCACGCGGCCGGCTCTGCTCAGAGCGGGGGTCTGAAGGCGGCTAGAGGCCTCCAGTAGGTTCCTGTCCCTGCAGCAGGGACGCGCCGTGGGAAGGGATGGCCTTGGGGGTCCCTGCCTCTGCCCGATCGTCCTGTCAGTCACTCATTCAGCAAGCACCTACTGTGCGGGCGCTGGCCAGGGCTGCGGGGCAGCACTAAGAGGTGAAGGTGCCAACTCCTGGGGGGGAGGAGCCGTGCCCAGAGCCGGGCACAGGTACCAGACTCCCCAGCTCCAGGCAGAGGGGGAGCCAGCACAGGGCAGAGAGACCTTGGCTGCCTGCCTACTCTGTGCCACGCGCTAGGGATACAGGGCAAGGCACAGGCCAACCCCCAGTGCCCCCTGGAGCTCACATTTGGTAAATAAACAAATGAAGAAATAAGTATGAAAAATGTCACTGACGGTGACAGGGAGGTGGTGAGAGGGTGGTGGTGGGCGGTGGTGGGCAGAGGTGCCTGGGGATGCTCTCCGCTCCTGCAGTGGGCGGGGCAGGCCTTTCTGAGGAGGTGGCATTTAAGTAGAGGCTGGAAGGATGAAAAGGAGCCAGCCATTAGTAGATACAAGCAGTGCAAAGGCCCTGAGGCAGGAATGAGCTCAGTGTGGTCAAGGAACCAAAAGAGGTCAGTGCAGTGACAGGAGCACAGTGAGCCCTAAGGAGAGCCACAGGCTATGAGTTAGCAGGGGTCACTCACTCACGGCTGTGTACTGTCACCACTGCATTGATTGCAAAAAAACAAAACAAAAAAACACTATTACAGCGGTTTAAACTGCAGATTTTGACTTAATGAACACTAAGCCTGAGGTGGGCAGTTGGGAGCTCATGTAGTGACCTATAGATGTCACCAGGCACTGTGGCACTTTCTTCTTTTTTATTGTCTTCAAATGTGGAGGACTTCTCCCTTCACATTTGCTGCCTCATGGTCACAGTGCAGCTGCTACACCTCCAGCTCTCATGTCCATGTGCCAGGCAGGAACAAGGGGAAGGAGCAAAAGGCCAAAGAGCCAAAGGTCCAGGGGCCTTGTCCTGGCCAGAGCCCATTTCTATTCAGAAAGACAATTTCCTCGCCGGGGTTTCGTTGTGTCCCGTTGGCTAGATTCAGATTACGCGGCTGCCTCCATCTGCCAGGAAGGTTGAAAAACAAGCCTTGAGACTTTGCTGGTCTCTCTAGTGGAGGATGGAATGGAGCAGGGAACGCACGGCGTCCACCAGGACTTCACCTGGGGGACCAGAGAGCTTGTCAGAGGGTGACGTGGGCAGATTGGTGCCAGAGCTCTGCTATTTAAACTGAGAACCTGTGACAAGCCACCAAAGCGTTCAAGGCTCACTTAAGACGTGACCAGGCTCCGAGAAGGGCCTCCAGCCCGGCCTCTCTCCTCTGCCCTCCTCCAGCCCTGGCAGCCCCTACGCTGGCTGGCCACACATGGTTCCTGGCTGTCCCTCGCCTAGCATCAGGGCGCGGAGCAGGAAGTGGCCCCCTGGCACCTCCTGGCCTGTAGAACGCCCACGCGTGTCCATCCACCGCCTTTGGTTTTCCTGCTAGAACTGACCCTGTCCCCAGGGAGGTCACAGAGCCCTCCCTTCATGGATGGGGAAACAGGCTCCTGGGGACCTTTGCCTAAGGTGGCCCTGATGCCACCGGCCACTGCACCTGGAGGGAGGGCTCTGGGCCCTGGCTGGGCCTCCCCTTTGCTCAGGTAGAGCGGCCATTCTCTTAGCCCTGATTTGAAGGTCTTGGGGGCCCAGGGAGTGGGTGCTGTTTCCGGCCTCTCCAGGCAGCGTGTGAGCCACCAGCCTCTGGCCTGCGGGACATGGGGACCCGGCTGTCCCCCTCACACGCCAGGCGCCGGGCTGGCTGGGCGGCCGTGCAGGCGCTCCTGGCTGACACAGGACGGGCCCTGCCCTCGGGAGTCCAGCCTTCGAGCCCGACTCCTGGGCCGCCTTCTTGATTCACTGTGTGACTTCGGACAAGTCCCCTCCTCTCCCTGGGCCAAATTTTCCTTCCTGTTCTTTTTCTTGGTTCTGGGATCCAACCTGGCCCACGGGCCTGCTGTTGCTCTAGTGGGATGACCAGGGGGTGGGTCTGGACTGTCCCCCTCGCCCTTCAAATCCACCCTTTGAAAGCTTCCAGTCCCTTTCTGCCTACCCCGCCCGCATCTGCCCCTGCCCGGTGTCTTTCATGGTGGCCACTTTCCCGGTCACCCTGTAGCTCTACTCCTCAAGCAAGGACAAGTTGGATCCACCAAAGGTCTCAGGTCGGTCTTCCGCCTGGACCTTGTGTCCAGGGAAGACAGGAGCGGGGTCCACCTGTGTCTGTCCCCCTAGAGACCAGCTCCTCCTCGGTGCTCACTCCACCAGGCGGGCAAGCCCTCAGCCCCGCCCTGTCGCGGCGGCGCCGGTGTCCCCACCCCACCCCCTGAGAACTACGGTCCCCAGAAGGCCGCGGGGCGGCGCGGAGAGGAGCGCGTCTCGGGAGCTGTGGTCCCGCGCGCCCGGGCGCCGGCTGGACGTGCAGGGCGCGGGGCAGCGGGGCTCGCCGTCTGCTCTCCCTGCAGGACCCCGCTGGCCGCCGGCCTTTGGAAGAAACCCTCGTGCGCTCCCGTGGGGTCTCCTTAAGGGGCGGGCTGGGCGCCCCACCTGGACGCCACCCCGGGCGGAGTCGGACCTGGCGCTTTCCAGCCCCTGATGTCACTGAGACCCCGCTGGCCCGGGCTGGCTCCCAGCTGTGCGGCCCCTGGGGGTGCAGGACTGAAGACGGGTAGGAGCGGGATCACAGCTGTCCACTGTCAAAACGCACCAGCGCCCCTCCCCCGTGGGAGAGGGTGCCCTGGGGACCTGGCCCAGGCTGGCTTCCATTGGCCTTGGCACTCGCCTGGCCACGGGGTCCAGGTCAGGGGGAACAGTATGCGGGAGGGGTCACTTGAGGAAGTGGCTGAAGGGAGTTTGGGCTTTTGGGGAAGAAATCCTGGGGCTGGAGCGCAGAGCCTGGAGACCGACCAGGGGGACCTGGAGCCACAGCAGCAGGGGTCTGTTGGATCCCAGAGGAGGCTGTGACCAGGGGTCGGGGCAGAGCCTGCCCCCTGCCCAGGGTCCTTCTTCCCAGGCTCCGCTTGTCCCTAGAGGCAGGGGCTTCCCTGGGCCAGGGTACCCCCAGAGCTGGCTCAGTGCTGTCCTAGGTGGCCCAGGCAGCCAGGAAACCAGGGGCTGGGGCCAGCATCTCTGCCTCGGAGAAGGGAGACGGAGACCCTGCTGCACTTCCGCTGTGTGGCCTCTGCAGGAGACACCAGGGAAGGCTGCCCCAGGAACGCCAGCTGTTGGGACAGCGGGGACATGGAGAAATCAGGAGGGTCTGCTCACACCCTTCCTGCCTAGGGGTCGTAGCCACAGGAAGGGTTCAGGCCTCCTGATGTCAGACCCCCAGAGCCACCTGGAGCTGGGGGCCTGGAGGGGTCCTAACTGGGATGGCTGCTCTGGGTCCCTCTTCTGGTCTCGATGGCCATGGGACTCAGGAGGTCACGTTCTCTGGCTCTGACAGCCTGGACCTGTGCTTGGCGGGAGGCTTGGCGCACGGTCCTGGGCCTGCAGGCCCCAGGGAGGTATCCATCCTGCCCCTCCAGACCCTGGGCTTCCTCCCCGGCACCTTGGGCCCTGCACTTCCCCTAAGTGCTCTGGGCACCCGAGGAAGCCGACGGCAGGCCGGGGCTCTGTGCTCCTCACTGTGGCCTCGTCCCCCAGATCAGAGGCCCGGCTCCATTGTGGTTTGTCTTGGATTCATAAAAAACGGGGAAGCAAATCAATGACCCCTTCCACAAATGCAATTCAGACGGCAGGAAAAAAATCTCTCTGGAGGATCAGGGAGCCTCTTTCTCTCATGAAAAATGTGGTGTCCTGAGATGGCCCTGACCCATCCTGGTGGGCACAGGGAGAAGGTCCAGAGTGTACATCAGTTGAAACTTAGCCTATGTTGGGGCTGGGGCTGGGGCTCAGCGGTAGAGCACATGTGAGGCCCTGGTTCGATCCTCAGCACCACATAAAAATAAAGGTACTGTGTCCAACTACAACTAAAAAAATTAAAAAAAAAAAAAGTGTACGTGAGGGCCCGATGGGTGTCTGCTCCTCAGAAGTCCCTTCCCCGGGGGGGCCGTGGGCTCCTGAGGCCCGGGCACTCCCTTCGCCTGGCTCCTCACCCCTCGGGTTGGATTTCAGGGCTGATATTCTGATGCTTTCCCAGGTGTCTGCTGATCGGAATCTTCTGGAAGTTGGTTAAATGCAGATTCTTGGCCCCTCCTCCCTGAGATCCTGATACAGGGTCCAAGGAGGGACCCAGGAATGTGGATTTCAGGCCATCGCGCCCCAGAGCAGAGGGCAGCCTCGGAGCATGGAGGACACAGATGGGGCGCAGCAGCACCAGCCCAATGCCAGACGTTGGTGATGTCCCTTCCCTTGTCCGCGAAGCAGTGACCTATCCAGGGTGCCCGGGGCTGGGTGTGTGCGTCATGTTCTGCAGCGGGGAGTTTGGGGCTGGGGACTGAACCTAGGTACTCTACCACGGAGCCACATCCCCAGCCGCTTTTATTTATTTTGATGCAGGGTTTTGCCAAGTTGCCCAGGCTGCCCTTGAACCTGGGGTCCTCCTGCCCTAGGCTCCGAGTAGCTGGGATGGCAGGTGCGTGCCACTGTGCCAGGCTTGCTTTAGATTTCTTTTTTCTTTTCTTTTTTTTTTTTTGTATTGCTGTCTAAATGACCACGGGTCACTGCTGTAATGCACCCTGCAGAACTGAGGGCCAGTCAGAACTGGGGACACGCTTGGGGTCTGGGATGTGGCTTGGAACACTGCAGGGCGAGGGCAGAGAACGGCTGGCCTGTGTGACTCCAGGGCTCCTGCTTTGTGAGCCCCTGGCTGCCCCAGTGGGCCACTCCCTCCACGCCCTCCGTTCCGCAGCACCTCACGTCTGACAGCCCCACAGCGCGGCTCCTGGGGCAGGTTCACCTGTACGTTTCCTCCTTGGGGCTGGGTCTGCAGCAGAGGGCCCTCTGACTTCATTCCCCTGCTCGCTGCCGTCCTCCGGGCTGGCCAGCCTGGGTGAATTTGGGGAGATGGGCAGGGCTTTCTACCTGCCGGGCACCATCCTCAAACCAGGTCCCCATTCAGGCATTTCCATTCTCTTCCAGGAACAGGCAGGCCGTCCCTCCCTGGCCATCAGGGGACTCCAGCCCCTGGGCAGAGAGCTTGGGGAGGGGACATTCACGTGACCCAAGGCAGGCCAGGAGACCCAGTCCTGGGAAGGCAGCTCTCTTTCTTCGGGAAGCTCGGGCTGGCAGGACAGAAAGCCGGAGTCAGCCGCATGGACAGCCTAAGCCAAGATGAAGCCAGACAGCCACAGAGCTGAGATGGAGCCGGTGAGGAGACACCCGGGAGCCTTGTTGGAGCACCTGGATCCAGCTTTGCCTGAGGCCATCCACCTCTTTTGGTTTAGGGCAGCTTGGATTGTTTCTGTGCTTGTAACTCGTTCGCAACTTGCAGAAAGTGTGTCACTTCACCTGTCCTTCTGTACACCTGTCTGTTCCGCAGGGCTGAGCGCCTGCCCAGACCAGCCTCTCCTGGTACCAGGCCTCCATTTGAAAGGGGAGGCGGCCAGGTGACCCTAGAGCTTCTGCCAAGGCAAGCCTGGGGCTGGGGCATGGGAGTTCCCGGGAGGGGGCATCTCGGTGGGCTTTGGGAGGAGGTGGCCTGGGGGTTGGGCTTAGAGGCACAGGGAGGATTTTAGTGGTTTGAGAATCAGAAAGGGGACCTCCCAGAGAACAGGGGTCAAAACGGACAGGTGGAGAGAGGAGCCCTGGGCCCTGCGCCTGGGCTGGCGGGGCGGGGCAGGGTTGGGGACTTTGTCTTGGTTAGAAGTGAGGGTCTGGGCAGGTCCCCGCCCTTCCCTTTGCTGCTTCATTCCTGGTCCTGCCCCTCTCAGCCTCCCAGGAGCCTGGCACCCTCCCCTCCCGGTCTTTCCAGGGTGTCTCCCCACTCGGGGCGTCGGCCAGGAAGTGGGCACAGGGGCACTGTCCCTGCTGCACCCGCCCGTGGCCTGCTTCTTGCTTTCCAGCCCTTGAGAGCAGACCCCAGGGCTGGGCCCGGGTCCCCCACGCCCCTCCAGGCCGCG